TGCTGTAGAAAATATGCTAGAATGGTATCTTTGCATCATTTAAACTTATGAAGAATATCTTGTAGATGTTAATTTAAAAATGCAAAAGGGGAGGGGCGCCTGGGTGGTTTAGTCATTTAAGCATCTGACTCTATCTCAGCTCAGGCGTTGATCTCAGGTTCATTAGTTCAAGTCCTGCTTTGGGCTCCATGCTGGGCATGGAGCCTACTTTAAAAAAAATGTAAAAGAGGATACATTATTTTTTGAAATTGTTTCAAGGGGAATGTAGCAAAACCTTTCAAAGACCACTGCTCTGATAAAGGAGATCAGGTTTAGTAAATGATGTATCAAAGTGTCCCATCACAGACATGTGAGCCTAAGGAGAAGTAAATAAGTTTGATTCCTATCTCATCTGAACTTTTATAAATTGTCACACTTTTGAGTCCCCCAACTGTAAACTGGATAGGAATATTTATTTGTAGTATTGTGAAGAACAAATGAAATAACATATACAAAGGAAATTACACAGTTCTTGGATCTTATAAGTTACCCATTAAATGTAAATTCTCTTCCCCAGAAATTAGCCATCGGTTTTTTATTTATCTGAATTTGACATTCATGAATTATGGTGTGAGGAGGTTCTTCACTACCATTAACAGTAGGGTATGGACTCTTTCCAAACACCTCAGGAAACAGTGCTGAGTAAGCCCTGGTAAAATTGTGCTTTATCCTTCCCTAGGCAGGGTTATAAAAAAACATATTCTAGTTTTACATATTCTAGTCTAAAGAATATGGGCATTCAATCAAAATAACTAAGACAAGAAATCATTCTGGGTTTCTTCATTCTCAATTTTATTTATTTTTATTTTATTTTTATTTTTTAAAGATTTTATTTATTTATTTGACAGAGAGAGAGAGAGCACAAGTAGGCAGAGAGGCAGGCAGAGAGAGAGGGAGAAACAGGCTCTCCGCTGAGCCGGGAGCCCGAGTTCAATTTTATCTATTTTTAAAGATTTTATTTATTTGAGAGAGAGCGAGCACACAAGTGGGGGGAGGGGCAGAGGGAAAGGGAGAGAATCAAGCCGACTCTGAACTGAGCACAGAGCCCAATGTGGGGCTCAATCCCATGACCTTGAGATCATGATCTGAGCCAAAACCAAGAGTCGGACTCAACTGACTGAGCCACCCATGCATCCCCTCAATTTTATTTTATTCTCAATTCATAATGACTGCCTTCAAATAAGAAGAAACTAAAAACAAAAACAAAAACAAAACCACATCAAAGAGGGCACCTACCTGGCTCAGTCAGTAGAGCTTTCAATGCTTGGAGTTGTGAGTTCAAGCCTCACACTGGGCTTACTATGAAAAAAATTTTTCTTAACAATCAAAAAGTTAAAAAAAAACACATCAAAGATAACAGAACAGATTGGTGGTTGCCAGAGATGGAGCAGGGGTGAAGATGAAATGGGTGAAGGGGGTCAAAAGGTACAAACTTCCAATTATAAAATAAATAAATCATGGGGAGGTAATGTACAGTATGGTGACTATAGTTAATAAAAACTATATTGCATATTTGAAAGTTGCTAAGAGTTAAAAGTTCTATCACAAGAAAAAAGTTTTGTAACTATGTATAGTGATGGATGATAACTAGACTTATTGTGGTGATCATTTCACAATATATACAAGTATTGAATCATTATGTTGTACACCTGAAAATAGTATACTGTATGTCAGTTACATTTCAATTAAAAAAGAGATGACTAATATACCTAACAGTTTATTTTTAAAAAAATCACATACTGTGATTCTCACACTTGTTAGGATATTGAGAACTGTTTTTTGTTTTGTTTTGTTTTTAATTTATTTGAGAGAGAGATAGAGCACAAGCAGGAGGAGGGGCTGAGGGAGAGGGAGAAGCAGACTCCCCGCTGAGCAGGGAGCCTGATGTAGGCCTCAATCCCAGGACCCCAGGATCATGACCTGAGCCAAAGGCAGATGCTTAACCATTTGAGCCACCCAGGCACCCCAGGATATTGAGAACTGTTAAGTCATGGGTGTGATTAGTGGTTCACCATGAAATATTTATATTAGATAACACAAAGTTAGAAAACATATAAATCTGTGTTTTTATCAAAATTACAACAAAATAGGTTAAAACACGAGTTCATCCAAATAACTACATATTAAACTAGACAATAGCTATTTCAGAATTTGAATTGCTTTGTTATTAAGATGCATTGTTACAAAATATGCACCATTTTTTGTCATCTAATAGGATTCCTTTATAAGGAATTAGTAACATTGTTAAGACAAGTTTCTGAGAAGAAAAATAAACTTGGAAAATTATACGAATTAATTTACTTTCCAGCAAATTAAAAAATGATCATATGCTAATCATTTCCCTGTCATCATTTCAGCTTCAAACATGCCTTTCTCTATTCTGTGATACTGGAGCTGGAACTCTGACAAAGACATATCCCAGTCTCCCTTGCTACTGTTATAGTTTGCCAATGGAGGCATTAAAGGGAGATTGGAAGGCAGAAAGGGAGAAGGAACTCACTTCCTGTTTTCCGGTTCTTTCAGTATCTCTAGCAGCAGAAGAGGGCTACAGCTTGCCTGCAAATTCTTTTTGCTTTCCCAGCACCAGACTACTAAACCCTGTTAACAGCCAGGCTGAGACTCCTCTTCAGAGCTCTTAGGTTCTGGTAAATCCATGCCTTTCCCTTTGTTCCCCAAACTCTATGGTGTTAGCTGTTTCTTAAGTTACAAATCTGTCCCCTTTTTGCTCTTTCAGTCATTCAATATTGCATAATCAATTTCCTGTAATTAAATATCCTGTTTGAAATTACCAGTGTAGTTCTGTGTTTTTGATTATATCTTGATGGACATAGTCCTACCACAATTTGTTTTAGCATTGCAACCACTAACTTGGTTGGCATACTTTGAGTAGCTACTTACCTGCTCTGCTGGAGATGATTAGACTCAAACCAGTGTTGGACTAGGTGGTATGAGATAAGAAAAATAAAGGACAAAAAGTCTTCCTATGATCAATTACTGACATATGAAGAGATAGTCATACACATTCAAAGTTTCTCTGAAGGTATACTGTGCCAGTCAAGAAGGGAGTGTAATAGCACTTTAGTATGAAATGTCCCAAGATGATCTCTAACCTGCATTGATAATCAAATACAGGGAAGAGCTGTTCAATGTACTGGTCAAGTAGCAAACCACAATTATCATCCAAAGAATACTTACCTAGTACATTTCCCCATTAAAGCAAACCAACTATTAAATGTTTGTAGAGTCTTAAAAAAAAAAGTGCTTGCCTTATTCTGTAAGTAACAATGCCCAATTTCACAGAATAAACAGCAAATCACTTCAGCCCTATTAGCCAGACTCCTTTTGTTCAAGACTCTCTGGCTTTAGCTATTAGAGGTCTCTTTGTGTGTGTGTGTGTGTGTGTGTGTGTGCGTGTGTGCGTGTGTGTGTGTGTGCGTGCCGCGCACACGGGGGCGGGGGGAGGATTGGAGGAATTATTCTCCAAAGATTGGTTCTCATTTCAAGAACTTCCCCCTTGTTTCCACATACCCCTACTTACCAAGCTCTTGACTTCAGTACACCTTCCAGATCTTCCAGGGTCTGGGGATGCGGATGAATGTTGCTTTGTTCAGAATTTTAACTGTCAAATACTTTCTCCTTGATCAAATTTTAGTTAGGCTCCTCTGGACCCTCTTCTCAACTATGAGGCTTCAACCTTTGGGTTTCAGTGTTTGTCTTTGCATTACCCGGTTTTAGTAAGAATTCTGTCAACTCAGTTTAGCCAGAGCCCTTGATATCTGACTACTCTTCCTATCTAATTAAATTCCTCATCCGTCCAGGCGGTATCTGATCACCCTGGACTGCCCTCAGCAAGAATTCTGTTGGTCAGTCTAGCAAGAATATCCCCCTACCCTTGATGTTTCCCCTTAATTTTCCATCCACTGACTGCCCCGCCCCAACTTGCTCCTTGCACATTTTAAACCGTACTTGTTCTTGCTGTATTGGAACTGAGCCCAGTTCTATGCTGAAGTTTCTTCTCCCCTACTGCGGTTGTTCCTGGATAAATATTAAACAAACAAACAAACAAACAAACCTCTTTAACTGCCATTCAGCTGTGGCTTTCTTTAACATCACTCAGGAGCTCACATTCTTGTCCTCCTGACTGATAGTTTTCTTGAAGCTGGACCCTAACTGAAGTTGTAAGGTGAAAAGGTGGAAGCAGCACCAAGAGAACCCCCAGGGCTCCGGTTATCACATTATAAAGGGCTCTCTCTGGTTCAATGAGCGTCTTCCTAACTACCCTTCTGTGATATCACATTAGGTCTAAGTAGAGAAAGGATATAAAAACGAAGGTAACAGTGACCCGGCCCATGGCCGGGGGTGAGGGATGGCATAGGCGTGCGGGAACAGTTAATCTGGAGTCAGTCACACACAAAGGCACACAAGGAAACCTTTCCCACCCGCCCCACACTAAAGGCAGGGCCAGAAACAAATGAAGCCCCACCGCGTGTCACAGGTAAACCCCTTCGATCTCTAGGGTAAGAACCAAAGAAATGGTCGCCCAAAGTCAGCCACAGTCCCTCTCACAAATCCACAAATACTCTCACATTCTAGGCGTCACACAACGACCCACAATCACGGGACGTGATTTTAAATACAGAAGCTCACTGCACTGACAGAAACCTTTGCTCCGTGATGCGCAGTCATAAAAGTGTGCAGCGACGGTCACACACAGATCGCCACACCTGAGCATTCAATAACAGTCATGGACGCGCGGAGCTTCACGGTTTCCTCACACACAGGTGCCCAGCGGCACTTGAGCGCCCGAGATCTGCTAGGGCTGCACACAGCTCTCAGACCCTCAGCCGCGGCCGCCTGCGCAGGCGCGGAGTAGAGGCGGGCCTTGGGGGTCCTCTGGGAAATGTAGTTCAGCAAAGAAGGCCGCGGCGCAAAGCGTTCTGGGACTCGTGGTTCGCGGGGTCGTAATGAAAAACTGAGCCGCGTCCAGTCCAGCTGGATGTTTCCCCGGCCGAGCTCGAGGTCCCGCGCGCCTCAGTCCCTGCTCAGCTTCACCCCGCGGGGGATTCTGGGAGGGGACGTCGCGGCTCTCGGGTCGCTGGGCGGGTTTCCAGAGCCCGCGGCGCCGGGAGGTGAGTCGGGCCTGGCTGCGCGCGGGAGCCAGAGGTCAGGGCTGGGCTTCGGGTGGACCGGCAGGGACAGGGGTGGGACCGGGGTGGGTGCCTCTGGGGTTACTGTCGAACTAACTATGTGAGAGGCCGTGGTGTGACAGAATGTGATCATGTCTGTCACCGCGTGTGTGCTTATGTGCGACTGTATGTTTCAGGTGTAAAACTGTGTCTGTGTCTCTGCAGGTATAACTGTGTTACTGTATATGGGTTTGTGAGAGACTGCGGGTGTGACATTGTGTGTGTCGCAGTATGAATGTGTGTGATTATGTTTGACCACTTGTCTCTGTGGATATAACAGTGTTTGGAATGTGAGTGACAGCAGGTGTGATTATGTACCTGTGTGCATCTTCTCTCTGCAGGTATAAATTTGTATGAGTTATGATGACAGGACGTGTGACCTAGTGTGGTATGTCACCGTGTGTGAGATTGCGTGGGACTGTCTGAGTAATTGTGTATCATCTATCTTTGCGTTAATGCCACTACATAGGTATTTGACATTACAGATGAGCTTGTGTGACCATGGATAGTGTATGTGTGTGACTGGGTGAAAATTTGTATGTGTATGTGAGATGGAAAGCTTGATTGTGTGGGACCTAGCTTGTGGTTGTGGGCACAGAAAGATTAAAATTACTTGCCCAAGTTCAGACAGTTAATGACAGAACGGGGGTCTCGAACCTAGGCATTTTGGCTCCAGAGTCCTTGCTTTTAATCACTAAACTCTCTTGATCTTTCCCATATTGTGAGAATGAAAAATGGGGGCCCTGGGTTCTAAGGGTTTTGGAGAGGATTGTCCCTGATCTTGGACTAGGAACCTCTAGGATATGGGATCTTTTTTTTTTTTTTTAAAGATTTTATTTATTTATTTGACAGAGACAAAGCGAGAGAGGGAACACAAGCAGGGGGAGTGGGAGAGGGAGAAGCAGGCCTCCCATGGAGCAGGAAGCCCCATGCGGGGCTCAATCCCAGGACCCTGGGGATCATGACCTGAGCCGAAAGCAGACTGCTTAACGACTGAGCCACCCAGGAGCCCCGTAGGATATGGGATCTTGATGTGGGTCTCTTCATTCCCCTTGTGAGTCACAGGACCCAGTCTAAAGGGTCTCACTGTAGTGGGACCATCCTCAAATTGACTGCCTCTGGGGGAGGAAAGCTCAATCCGAAACCCAGTCTTTCTCTCCCTTAGGCCATGGACTTTGAGATTTTAGCTTTGTCTTTGTCAAAAGTCTTCCATGTTTGGTGCTCAGAGAGGCTGATCCATGGCTCTTTTTCTTATGTACCAAGTGAGTTGAATTTTGGTTCTGACTTTCTTAGTTAATAAAGAAAAATGTTCTCATTTCCTTTGCAAATGTGTGTATAGAAAGTAGGCAGGAACAAGGGTAGCACTTCTCTAAGTGGAATTGGCTCATGCAGTCTTGACAGTGAGGAAAGAAATGTTCTGAGAGATGGAGTATCTTGCCCAAGGTCATGTAGCCAGTGAGTGAAGGAGTGGAGAGTTAACATGTGCCTGGGGGTTATATAAAACCCAAGTCTTTAAAATCAGCTTCTTTCAGAGACTGATGTTCATCTCAAACTTGGAAAATACTACCCAAGTGATACACAGCTATTTGCAAACAAATTTAAAAGACATTTCTTTTATGCATATGCTACATAGGGCTCCCAGGTGCAGAGAATACTTCATTGATTCTTCTCTCAGGTTGCAAAGGCTTTTATGGGCAATTTGAAGCTGCATTGCGCTAACGAAATAAATTTCTTAAACAATGAGTTGGCTAGTGCAGAGTAGCCCAGAATTAGGGGGTCATGTATTCTAAATTCTAGGTCAAACACAACTATGCTCACTTTCAGAATGAAGATATGTTGGCTCTGAGGGGACTGTGCAATTTGTTATTGGTTTATATTAAAAATGAGCAATACCTGCCTCAAGCTGTATTCCCGTGAAGTAATAAAGGTAATATCTGCCAGCTCTGAAGATGCTTCTCTAGTAAATATATAGCATTGATTCCCCAGGTTATGTTAAATATTTCATTCAGACATTGTAGGCTCTTGAAAGAGGACCAGGTTTCGAGTCTCATTGCAGTTTTAACTCTTATGATTGAGTTAGTTGTTTAAGCTTTTTGAACCTCAATTTTACTTGTTGGTAAGATGGGGATAATAATACTTATCTTTGTAGTTTTGTGAAGATTAAGTAAGATAATGACATATACAACATGTGTAACATTGCCATTTATATTACAGGAGGCACAGCAAGATTTATTTATTCATTTAACAAATACTTTTTGAGCGCCTGCAAAGATTCTGGCATTACTCTAACACCAGAGATACACCAGTGAACCAAATGAATCCTAGTTCTATTAGATCCTACACTATTGTTTGGGGAGACAACGATAAAGAGAAAAAAACATGTCCAGTGGTGTCAGATGCTAAGAAGAAAAGTAAATCAGGATAAGGGAAAAGAGAAGGGAGGTTCTCTTTAGATAGAATTTTCAGGAAAGTTCCTCTAATGTGGTGACAACTGAGCACAAATAGGAATGAAGAGAGGGAGTGAGCCATGTCCAGGAAGAAGGAAAAGCAAAGGCAACAGCCTTGAAGAAGGAGCGTGCACAGTGTTTGAGGAATTGTAAGAAAACTCCTGTGCCTGGAGTAGGGTGAGCCAAGGGGGATGAGGGTAGGAAATGAAATCTAAGGGGCAGCCAGGTGGCAGATCATAAACCAGCCTGTTGGCCATTTAGATTTTGTTGAGTTTAGGCTATATGTTCTTAATATCAGTCAGGACTTCAGGGTTAAATTCAACTCTGGCCTTTTTCTCAGATCTTGGAAGAGGGTAGGGCTGGCCCATGTAAGGAGGCTGTGGAGACCTTAAAGGGACAAGAGTTCTATCTTTGTGAATCTCAGGTCAGCAACATAGGGCTGGTGTGCCATTCTTTTTTTCCCTTTAATTCTCCCTTCTCAGGACCTTGTTCTCCAAAAGAGAAGATTGAAGAAGGAAGGAAGAATGGCTGTTGGACTATGTAAAGCCATGTCCCAGGTAAGTTGATGTTTTCACTTTGTTTCCAGAAATGCCACCTCATTTTTAGGGACTTTGGGACCTCAGAGAGTCAGAAATAGCCCAATGAGCACTCTCACCACTTCTCTCCCTTAACTACTTCATATGATCTCTCTACAGATCATTTACTATCTTTTTTACTCAGTGCTGTGCTGAAATATATGATGGGAAAGACCTATCCTCTTTAGATGGATCATGATTTGTTATGCTGGAGATCAGTGCAAATGAAATAAAGGACAGAGGTGTGATTATTTTTTTTTTAAAGATTTATTTATTTGAGAGAGAGAGAATGAGAGATAGAGAGCACGAGAGGGAAGAGGGTCAGAGGGAGAAGCAGACTCCCTGCTGAGCAGGGAGCCCGATGTGGGACTCGATCCCGGGACTCCAGGATCATGACCTGAGCCGAAGGCAGTCACTTAACCGACTGAGCCACCCAGGCGCCCCCAGAGGTGTGATTATTGAGTGCCGTATTAAATAGTAAGGTCCAGGATGGCCTCCCTGAGGAAGTGACATTTAAGCAAGGAAAAGCCTCAGTGAAAGTAGGGGGTAGGTTTTGTGGAGATCTGGAGAAGAGCTTTAAAAGGAGAAGGAATGGATGCCTGGTGGCACAGTCGGTTAAGCGTCTGCCTTCGGCTCAGGTCGTGATCCCAGGGTCCTGGGATTGAGTGCCACATCGGGCTCCCTGATCAGCGGGGAGCCTGCTTCTCCCTCTCCATCTCCCTCTGTCTTTGCCCCTGCTTGTGCTCCCTCTGTCAAATAGATAAATAAATAAAATCTTTAAAAAAAAAAAGGGAGAAGGACTAGCAAATATGAAGTTGCTGAGGTGGGAAGATGTCTGATGTATTCTAGGAATATCACTGAGCCAGGATCCTTAGAAGGAAATGAGCACTAGGAGATCAGAGGAACAGCTGGGGAACAAGTTATGTGGGCCCTTGAAACTCATGACCAGAACTTTGAGTTTTGTTCTGAGGGTGAAGGAGAGTCATTGGAGTGTTTGTGATTTAATGCGATTTCTATTTTAAAAGGAAAATAGAAAGGAAGTAAGGGTGGAGCAGGGAGATCAGTCGGGAGACTACTACAGTAATCCGGGTGGAAGGTGGTAGCTGCCTGGGCCGTGGTGGAGGCACTGGAGCTGGTGGGATTTGGGGTATATGTTGAAGATAGAAAATACGGGATTTGGCCAGGGACTGGTTGTGGAGTGTGAGAGAAAGAAAGTCAAGGATAACAACAAAGATTTTTGCCCTGGGCAACTGTACAGATGACCTTACCATTTACTGAGATGGAAAGACAGGGCAGAATGATGAGATGGGAACAAAAATTGATCTATTAAGTTTGAGAGACCTGTTGGATATCCAAGTGCAATAGTGATTAGATACCTGGAGTCAGGATTGGAGGTATGCATTTGAGAATCATTAGTGTACTTAAAGCCATAGGATGGCATAGGATTATCTGGAGGGTAGGATTGTGAGTGTAGATAGGAAAGATGCCCAAGGACTGAGTTTTGAGGATTCAATATCTAGAGGCTGAGAAGAAGAGGAGGAACCAGCAAAAGAGACCGAGAAGGACTGATGTGGAAGGAAAACCAGAAGAGTATGCGTCCTAGAAGTCAGGAGTATACAAAGTGTTTCATAGAGGGTATGATAAACTGAATTAAATTCTTCTGAGAGAGAGTGAGGAAGATGAAGACTGAGAACTGACCATTGGATTTGGTAACATGGAAGCTACTGATATTCTTGACAAAAGCTACTTGATAGAATGGTTGGGATGAAAGCATTGCAGTGGGGGCACAAGGGAAGAGTGGGCCTAAAAGATAAGAACAGAGATGAGTTTAGACCTGTGCTCTCCAATGAGGTACCCAGTAGCCACATAAGACTGCTCTGAATTAAGACACGCTATAAGTATAAAATATATACCAGATTTTAAAGATTCAGTACAAAAAAAGAATGTAAAGCATCTCATTAATAATTTTTATATTGAGTACATGTTGAAATAACATTTTAGATAGAATGGATTAAATATATTAAATTTGTTTCTTTTTTTAAAGTTATTGATTTATTTATTTATTTAGAGAGCAAGAGCACAAGAGCAGGGAGAGGGAGAAGCAGACCCCCTGCAGAGCAGGGAGCCTGACTTGGGGCCCGATCCCAGGACCCTGGGATCATGACCTGAGCCAAAGGCAGACACTTAACTGACTGAGCCACCCAGGCAGGCGCCCCTAAATTTACTTATTTCTGCTTACTTTCTTTTTCTTTTTGCAATATAACCTAGTGATTCAGCATGACATTTGGTCTTAAACATCTGTAAAATGGGTTTCATACTTTTTTTTTAACAAGTTTTTTTTTTTTAATTTTTTTAAATGTTTTATTTATTTATTCACGAGAGTCAGAGAGAGAGAACCAGAGGGAGAAGCAGGCTCACCACAGAGCAGGGAGCCCGATGCGGGACTCGATCCCAGGACCCCGGGATCATGACCCGAGCCGAAGGCAGATGCTTAACCATCTGAGCCACCCAGGCGCCCTTTTTTTAACAAGTTTTACAGTGAGATTGAGATAATATCAAAATGCTCATTAGGGTGTCTGGCGTGTAGTAATTGGTCAATAAATATAGCAGTTATTCTTGTTTTGTTTTCATTAAATCTATTTACTTTTTTAATGTGGCTTCTGAAAAATTTTAGTATGAGGTTTACATTGTTTTTCTATTGGACATTGCTGATTTAAACAACTCTTTGGAAGAATTTTGTTTTGTTTTGTTTTTAAGATTTTATTTCTTTATTTGACAGAGAGAGACACAAGAGGGAGCACAAGCAGAGGGAGTGGGAGAGGGAGAAGCAGGCTTCCCGCCGAGCAGGGAGCCCGATGCGGGGCTCGATCCCAGGACCCTGGGATCATGACCTGAGCCGGAGGCAGACGCTTAACGACTGAGCCACCCAGGCGCCCCTGGAAGAATTTTGTTTTTAAGAGGAGTAGAAAAATAGAACAATAACTACAGTGAGCTTATGGAAGGGAATTGATCTATTTATAAGATGAAAGATATTACATCAATTTGTATACTGATAGAAATAATTTAGGAAAGTGAGAAAATATTGATAATATAAGAGAGATATCTTATTTCCCTGATAATTACAAGGGAGAGAGGTGACAATGTCTTTGTGTGGACAAGTGGAGGGAATGGCCATAGATAGGAGCCTAGAGTTTCATGCATAGTAACAGAGGGAAGACAGAATATATGAATATAGGTACAGTTCAGCAAGGACCTGTGGTGAGCAAGACGAGGAAGTTCAAAGTGAGGACAGGGAAGGAATTGGTGGTATTTTGAGAGAGAGGCAGAATCTATGAAATAGTCACGGGTGAACGGGAAAGTGAATTTATTACGGAAGTGTAGTGGTGCTTTTGTGGAATCTCTGGTCATATCCTAGAAGTACATTGGATCAACGTGTTTATCAGTTAGGGTTCCGGCAAGAAACTCCAAAGGGAAGTGTTTCCAAGTTATAAATCAGTATATAGAGAACTGTAAAGGATAGTGCTATACCCAGGGACTTATAATAGTAAAACTTAGACCTGAACCCAGAGATAGAGATCTGAGTGGGGAGGGCCTCTGACAGGCGTTGTGACCTGTGATCGAAGGACAGACACCACACAGGGTGGTGCTGCAAGGAGGGTGCCAAGGGAGTAAATATTGTGCTTCACTTGCCTCCCTCCCATCTCCTGCATGTGGCTGAACCCAACTGAAAATGGGGTCAGGTAAGGCAGTCTATTAATGCAGTCAATAGAGGTCAGTGTCCCAGGACACAGAGAGGTGTAGAGGGGCACATGGGAGTTATATAACTATGTACTTGTGTGAGGTTTTTTGTCTCTAGCCACATTCATCCGTATATCTACTATGTAGAATAACCATATTTGTCTTTTTTTTTTTCAATTTGACAAACAGCTGTATACTTTTAATTTGAAAGCACAAGCAAAAGAGATTATTTCCTAGGTAAATATAAAATATAAAAACTAGCTCAAAAAGTAGAAAACTAAATAGACCAATGCTCAAAAAAGAGTTAACATAGCAGGCCTGAAGATGCTGTGTTTAGAAGAATCCACTCGCAGGTTGGCTTTTGGCTGGCATCTGAGATCTTGGCACTAGATCTGTTCTCTGCACTGATAGATATTTCATGATTTTTAATAAAAAAATGAGACCATAATCTGCAAAATGGAACTCTGCCATTTTAAGCATTGAGTACTCTTCCTTCCTATGGATATATTACAAGAAAGTTTACCATTTATTTACTGAGTGGCAAATATTTACTGTTTATAGTGTGACAGGTTTTATATAGACACCAGATATTCATGAGCTTGTAAAACAGATATCCTTCCCCTCATACAGCTTATAGTCCAGTGGTGTAAACTAACTGTTTTTTATTTTATTTTATTTATTAAAAAGATTGTATGTATTTATTTGACAGAGAGAGAGCGAGAGGGAGAGAGCACACAAGCAGGAGTGGCAGGCAGAGGGAGAGGGAAAAGCAGTCTCCCTGCTCAGTAGGGAGTGGGGCTCGATTGCAGGACCCTGGGATAATGCACTGGGCTGAAGGCAGATGCTTAACCAACTGAGCCACCCAGGTGCCCCTTTATTTTTAAAAATATTTTATTTAATTTATTTTAGAGAGCATGAGCAAGGAGAGGGAGAGTAGCAGACTCCCCACTGAGTGTGGAGCCCTATGTGGGGCTCGATCCCATGACCCTGAGATCATGACCTGAGCCGAAATCAAGAGTCAGATGTTCAACCCATTGTGCCACCCAGGTGCCCCTAAACTTATTTTTTTTTTCAAATTTTTTTATTGTTATGTTAATCACCATATATTACATCATTAGTTTTTGATGCAGTGTTCCATGATTGATTGTTTGTTCATAACACCCAGTGCTCCATGCAGAACGTGCCCTCTTTAATACCCATCACCAGGCTGACCCATCCCCCCACCCCCCTACCCTCTAGAACCCTCAGTTTGTTTTTCAGAGTCCATCATCTCTCATGGTTCGTCTCCCCCTCTGACATACTCCCCTTTTCTTCCTCTCCTGTTATCTTCTTCTTTTCCTTTTTTCTTAAAATATGTTGTGTTATTTGTTTCAGAAGTACAGATCTGTGATTCAACAGTCTTGCACAATTCACACCGCTCACCGTAGCACATACCCTCCCCAATGTCTATCACCCAGCCATCCCATCCCTCCCACCCCCAACCACTCCAGTAACACTCAGTTTGTTTCCTGAGATTAAGAATTCCTCATATCAGTGAGGTCATGTGATACATGTCTTTCTCTGATTGACTTATTTCACTCAGCATAACACCCTCCAGTTCCATCCACGTCGTTGCAAATGGCAAGATCTCATTCCTTTTGATGGCTGCATAATATTCCATTGTGTATATATACCACATCTTCTTTATCCATTCATCTGTCGATGGGCATCTTGGCTCTTTCCACAGTTTGGCTATTGTGGACATTGCTGCTATAAACATTGGGGTACACGTACCCCTTCGGGTCCCTACATTTGTATCTTTGGGGTAAATACCCAGTAGTGCAATTGCTGGATCGAACGGTAGCTCTAATTTCAACTGTTTGAGGAACCTCCATACTGTTTTCCAGAGGGGTTGCACCAGCTTGCATTCCCACCAACAGTGTAGGAGGGTTCCCCTTTCTCCACATCCCCGCCAACATCTGTCGTTCCCTGACTTGTTAATTTTAGCCATTCTGACGGGTGTGAGGTGGTATCTCATTGAGGTTTTGATTTGGATTTCCCTGATGCCGAGTGATGTTGAGCACTTTTTCATGTGCCTGTTGGCCATTTGGATGTCTTCTTTGGAGAAATGTCTGTTCATGTCCTAAACTTATTTTTTGACATTAAAGTTTTTTTCCAGATTTTTCATATAACCTTCCAATGAAAATTCTATCTAAATCACTTCACATATGCTTCATTATTTCTTCAGGACACATTTTTACAAGTTTCTCCTTACATATAAAGTCTGAGTTTCAGACCGTACCCTTTTGTTAGAGCCCAATTCAAGGCCTTCCCTCACTACTCTGACCCATCTGATATCTCATTTTGGGGAGTGTAATGGAATCATCCCTATGAGAATTTATTTTTATTTATTTTATTTATTTATTTTAAAGATTTTATTTATTTGAGAGAGAGAATGAGAGAGAGAGAAAGAGCACATGAGGGGGGGAGGGTCAGAGGGAGAAGCAGACTCCCTGCCGAACAGGGAGCCCGATGTGGGACTCGATCCCAGGACTCCAGGATCATGACCTGAGCCGAAGGCAGTCGCTTAACCAACTGAGCCACCCAGGCACCCCCTATGAGAATTTATTGATACATAGTATGTGTAATATAAAATAGCCTTGCTCACATACTTTCATGTTATAAACTCATGTTTCATGTCATAAGCTAATTTTTTTCCTGTGTATATGTCTTTTTTTATTCACAAAAATGTGAAATTTTCAAGGGGTGAGTCTATTTCTAATATTTCTCTTTCTCTCAAAATATTTGACAAACCTGGGCATGTACATGCTCCCCAGTAGTTATTTTCCTTGGGCCACATAGAGCTTTGAACTCTGCCAGAATTTCATCTTTTCTGCTAGAACCATATGGGAGCACTTGGCAAACGAGACCTTTTTTTTTTTTTTTTTTTTTTTAAGGGTCTGGTGACCTTCAGAGATGTGGCTCTAGATTTTTCTCAAGAGGAATGGGAATGGCTGGACCAGTCTCAGAAGGATTTATACAGAGATGTCATGTTGGAGAACTACAGGAACTTGGTATGGCTTGGTAAGGATGTCTCCCCCATAATTCAGAATCTTCCCTCTGGGGTATTTTTGTTTCCTCCATTGGGAATATCTAGGTCATCTTAAGTGCTTTAGCTGAATTTCTACTTACTGCTCCCAGGAAATAATTTGAAGTAGTTTCAAAGAGTTAGAAATTAGTAGTTCCCATTGCTGTAGAATGAGGTAGGAATTTGTTAAATTGCAAATTATGGGGTCCCACTCTAGATCTACAGAATCAGAAACTCAGGAAATAGGCCCAGTAGTCTGGGTTTTAATGAGCCCTCCAAATGACTCTGATGCCCATTAAAGTTTGAGAACCACTGTGGTTTCTGATTCAGTAGGTCTGGGTTGAGGCCTAAGATTTTGCATTTCTAATAAGATCCTAGGTGGTGGTGCTTCTGCTCTAGCACTTTGAGAACCACTGTTATGGAAGAAGCTTCATCTTCATCCTTCATACAAGCATCATTCTATTCTCTGGCCTTTCCTCAAATTTCTTTTCTTGACTTATGAACAAGAGATTGAGATTGAGTCCTAGAAAGGCTATAGCAAGTTGATTGTCTCCCTGTTTGGCACTTTCTTGCTCTCATTTTTCTTCTCCTATAAACAGGACTCTCCATTTCTAAGCCCAACATGATCTCCTTATTGGAGCAAGGGAAGGAACCTTGGATGGTGGAGAAAGAGATGTCAGATGGTCAGTGTGCTGGTGAGTGACAGGGAACTGGGCAAGGAGGGCTGTTGTAGGGTGTCAGGCCAAGGCCAAGAGGTCATGAGAAGGCTGCCCTGCACTTGAGGAGGCTGCCCTGGGCTTGGCGGGGGTGGGTTTCTCCCTATTGCTATCAAATTATACACTTGTGATTCTTCTGCGTATAACCTGAATCTCAGTCCTTCCCAGCTCTTCTTTCCCTTTTAGGGTCAGAAATATATACATTTCCAGGTTACGTTTTAGAGTTTTTATTTTTATGAAAGTTGTTATCAAACTTATGCATGCACATTGTTTAAAGAATCAGGTAGTTTTACAAGGCTTATTCCCTTAAAAAAGGCGGTCTCTTGTCCTTCTCCTCAATGTCGCTCTCCTTAGAAGGATTGACTTTCTTTGCTTTTGCAGCCTTTTTTTTTGATGTTTCCTTCATTTCTTTAACAAATATGGTTATGTTGCTATTTCTTAATTGTTTTTCTAGGTTTAGTCCTCATCCAATATCTTTAAAAAAAAAATAAGAATTTAGTACTTTCTTACCCTGAATCAAATATATGTGTGCAGGTGTGCACCTGTCCTGTGCGCGTGCATGCGCATGCACACATACACACACTTCCCATCTGCCTATCTCACCGGTATCATAATTTTGACTGAATCACTGTTCAGTGTTTACAATATTATGGCTATTAAGTGCTAGTCACAGCCGTGCTGTGTATATACCAAGATTGTTTTTTCTATGTGATTTTTTATTTTTCCTGGAGTTAATAATTTGGGGGGTTATTTGTTTTTTTCCTTAGTTTTCTATATACATATTCCTAACTCAATTCCCAACTCCCCATCAATTGTCTAAGTCTCTTAAGACACTCAGACCCATTAAAGTAATCTGTTGATTTTGTTGTCTTGGAGAAATCTTTCCCAGAGTCTTCAGATATGCTTCACTCTGGATAAATGGCTCATTACATCTGCTTGCACCCAATTTGGGTTTATCTGCTGTTTTGTCATGATTAGATGGAAGTAATGCATTTTTGGAAAGAGTGCCACAGAAATAATGTTATGTTCCTCTCAGTGCAACATACCGGAGGAGTCATAATATTGGTATGTCTTACTATGGATGATAATTTTGATCACTTGGTAAAGGTGGTGTCTGCCTGATTTCTCCATTGTAAAGTTATTATTTTTCTGTTTGTAATTAATAAATATCTTGGGGGAGATACTTTGAGACTATTCAGTTTCTTCTGAAACTTTTCCCTACTAATTTTAGCATCCATTGGCCCAGTGGGTCTTGTCTGCAACAGTTATTTATTTATTTTTTTAAGATATTATTTATTTATTTATTTGACAGATAGAGAGCAGAAGTAGGTAGAGTGGAGGCAGAAGGAAGGGAGAAGCAGGCTTTCTGCTGAGCAGGGAGCCTGATGCGGGGCTCGATCCCAGGACCCTGGGCTCTTGACCTGAGCCGAAGGCAGCCGCTTAACCGACTGAGCCACCCAGGTGCCCCTCTGCAACAGTTATTAATGTGGTATTGGCCTAATATTGATTTTTTTCCATTTCCCTTCTTTCTTTATGTATATTAATTAGGATTGTCCTATAGAGAAGAGCTGTTCCTTCTCTATTTATATATTCAATTATCTCTTTATAAATCATGGATTTTAATTTTTCCTGTGAGGTAGATCCAGTGAATCATTTTTTGCTCAAGTTCTTCTGCTTTGACCATTGGGATCTCCTTCCAGTTGGTTTCTTTCACCTTTTAACATGCCCCCATTCATTTTTGAGCCTTTCTTTCCTTCCTGGTTCCAGGTATTCTGGGTTCATCTTGTTTTCCTTGCCCTACCCTTGAATCAACTGTTTCTCCTAGGAGCTCTGGTTCCTTTTATTGGGAAATGATGTTTAGAAACCAAGGTCTGGGTGCTATGTGTGCTCATTGCCACTTATAGGTCTTATAGGACTAAAATCAAGATGTCAGCACCCTGCCTTACTGGTTAATGCCGTAGGGGAGAATCTGTTTCTTGCCTTTTTCTACTTTTTAAGATCTTTCTTCATCCTTTTATTTTCAATTTTTAAAAATCACTTTTTAAAGTGTGGCATTTATATGCAGTATAGAATTGAGTTTTGCTCTGTGAACCAATCTGAATATCATTTTTCAAGTTAATAGGTGAAAGTCCAATTACATTTTTGATATGTTTGGGCTTAATTCTGTATATTTTTTTGACATTTTCTGGTTTTTACAGTTTTTATTATTTTATTTTTTTTAAAGAGAGATTTTCCATTTTTTTTTTATGTTAGTCACCATACAGTTTTTGATGTGTTATAACGATGAATCATGGTTTTTACGGTTTTTAAAAAAGACTTTCACTTATCTATTTCCCTAGCCTTTTATTTTGGTCATTTACTACTATAGTTTTGTAATAACTAGGAAGGTTTTTCTTTTATTTATTTATTTATTTATTTTGAGAGATAGAATGAGATAGAGAGAGTGTGAAGGGGGAGGGTCAGAGGGAGAAGCAGACTCCCTGCTGAGCAGGGAGTTCAATGTGGGACTCGATCCCGGGACTCCAGGATCATGACCGGAGTTGAAGGCTCCTAACCAACTGAACCACCCAGGCGCCCAGGAAGGTTTTTCTTTTATTCTCGTATTATAGTGCTCTGTTTCTGTAGACAATATTTATTCCTTCTATTACTTGATTAGTTGACTTTAACGATTTTTTTACTTGTTACAGATGAGTCAGTAAGTAGGCTTGTTTTACCTCCCACCTTCTCTTCCCAAATTTTGTTAGTTGTACACTTTTCATATTGTCAAGGCATATTATATTTACATGCTCTTCTGTCACATTTATCCCAACCTTTCATTTCATCTTTGTTCTATAGTTAAATATGTTCAGTGCTTTCCACAGGTCCTTTTGCTGAAATTTCTCTAGATATCTCTTGGTTGGCTGAAGTTTGTCCTCTCGCAGTTTCCTCACAAAGAGTTCACGCAAATAATGTCCCCCCCAAGTTCTAACTTGTTCATAACTGGCCGTTCTTTGCTAAAGTTTATTGTAGTATAGTATTAATGTTGAATAGTGTTATGAAGAAGTCTGATACCAACTTGATATTTTCCTTTCTGTATAATTAGCTTTATATTTTGTTCTGGTCTCCTGGTAGGCTCTTTCTTTAATTTTAAAGTTATTTTGTTAGAGTACATCTCAATCTTGACCATGTTGGATCACTTTTTCCTGGCACGTATATTATCTTTCAGGATGGAGAATCAAGTTTTTATTTCAGGAAATATTTTTGTTCTTTTTTTGTTGAGAAAGTTAAGAATATAGGAAAGTAAAGGGAATGATACAGCAAATGCCTACCACCCAGAATTGATCATTATTAATATTTTGACACATTTTTGTTTTTTTGATGAAAGAGATATACTATCTTAAGCACAAATTCTGTTTCTCATTCTCAGTTCACTTTCCCTCATCTACCTCTTGCTCTGAGAAGCAACAACAATCATCAGTCATAAATCATATGTCCTTCCAATTCATTTTTAAGCATATTTTGTAAACATTTGTGCATCTGTTTAAAAAAGTGTTTTTATTTTTTCAGAGGTAGTATTCTTTACATTTTGTTCTGCAACTTGCCTGTATTACTCAACATTTTTCTGAGATTTGTCCTTGGTAAATCTGTTATGTAATATAGTTCCATTTTTTAAACTGCTATCTAGTGTTTCATGTTTTGAATTTGCCACATTTTATTTAACTCTTTCCCTACTACTGATGGCCATTTAGATTGTTTCTATTCTTTGCTGTCTCATGTAGTAGCAGGGTATGTTTCCATGTACATGCACATAAGAGTTTGTCAAGGATTTGTACATAGTAATAAAATTGCTGGAGTGTAGGAGTGCACACTTTTACTAGATACTCAAATTGTTCTTGAAAGTGATAGTATCAGTTCATACCTCTAGTAACAATGTCTGAGATTTTCTGTTTCCTTATTCTCTTGATATTCTCCAATTTAAGTTTGTGATATTGCCCTTGATAATTTTTTGCCAGTATGATGGAAGAGAAATGCTCTTGAAATTGTTTTAATTTGCCTAGTAAGACTGAGCATTTTTCCAGAAATGAATTAACCGTTCAGTTTTTCTCTTGTGTGACTTGCCTGCTCATATTTTTAACCCATTCTTTGAGGTAAGGTTATTTGTCTTTTTCTTATCAATTTGTAGAACTTTATATATTGAGGATTAATCATTTTTCTATAATGTGTGTTTTTGTTATGTTTTCCCAGGCTGTCCCTTGCCTTTTACCTTTGTAATGCCTTCTCTCACCCAGAAGTTTTTCATGATAGTGTCAAATTCACCCATCTTTTCCATTACTGTTTGTTCTTTACTGTACTCTTGTTTACGAAATCTTCCCCTAACGGAGATCATACAGATACTCTCCTGTATTATTTTTTAATAGTTTTAAGGTTCAGTTTTTCAGTCTTCTCCTATAATCCATCTGGACTTTAATTTTAAAATATGATGTAGTAGGCTTTTTTTTTCCCCACATGGAGTTTTCCCAGTACTGTATATTAATCCATTTCTTCTCTATTGATTGTAATGCCACCTCTGTAATATGCCAAGTCCTTAGGTTTGCAAGAATCTTATTTCTGTCCTCTGTTTTTTTGTTCCACTGACCATTTACTTATTCTTAAGCCAGTGCTATGCTGTTTTCCATACTATATATCTTTATTTCCTTTTCAGTGTTTCATTATTGTTGGTATATAGAAAAAGTATTTATTTGCATATATTTATCATCTGTCTGGTCGGTTTATTGTACTCTCTTACTCAATTGTCTGAGTGTATTAGTCAACATAAAGCTAATTACTTTAACAAAGCCTCAGTGAATAAAAACAATCTAGATTGTTCCTTGTACATGTCACAATCCTGTGTGAGGTTATCTGGGGCTTCTGTTGCAAACTGTCATTCAGATATGCAGTCGTATTTCCTCTGTTGGCTGCGTCATCCCTTAGGACTCACTATTGCCTTGAGGTTCTGTGCT